AAAAAAAAAAAAAAAAAAAAAAAAAGAAAGTTATAAAGAAGGCCAAGACAAAAAAAATAAAAAGCAGATGGGGCCCGCCTTACTGTATCTATCTACAACCTCAAACTGTTCGCAGAGTGACGCACATCTTTGTCGGCTTCGAATCAGAATACTGGGAAAGCAAAAATAAAGCTCGGCTTCAGATAAGCCTCTCTTTCACCTGTATATACATACGTAGATGTGTATATATTTTCGAAAGCCAGCCGTGGCCACACATATTAGGCTTTTCACAGAGCCAGTCTGATTTCCCTTTTTCTCTGTGGCACATACAAATTTTCTTCGATCTTCTTGTACAGACCAGTTGAATCAACTTGGTGTCAGTGGTTGAGGTAAGTTGACTCGAAGGAAATATTTACAAAATCATTTCCTGTGTTTCTTTTTTCCTTTTCAGTTTCTGTTTGGGGTTTTTTATAACGAAGATTGTGGATATTTACTTCTCGAATTATGTAATTGTTCAAGGAGTATCTGTATGTGATTTAGCTGGAAATATATGTTTGTTTTAAGGAGAAATTTCTGGTCTGATTTTTAATTTTATTTTTCATTTATGAAAGGAAACAAATCCCGTGTTAAATCACCCGTGTCAGAGAAAGTGCACAATTTTGATAACTCGCTATGGACTAGACTTGAACAAAAGACTTTGCCTGCTCTGATAGTGCATCGAATCACCTAATTTAAAAGCTCATTGAAGAAGGTTGTTTGGGCATTGGAGGAAGTAGTCAGTGAAGCAAAGACACTGAGTTTGTCCATCTAGTAGGATTGTCCAGGTTAACACCCCTTCAGCTGCAACTGAAAAATGAATCTCGACTACACGGGGGACGTGTGTAGAGTATTATCTCCAATTTTTCTTTTTCCATCCCTTTTAGGATTAGAACTAGATGGTACTACCATTTCAGGTTTAGGCTCATTTCTTCTTCAAGATGTTTTGCATTTGAAAACTATTGTAACCGAAAACTGAATTTACAATAGATGCAAACTCTTTCTACCTCTATACAACAGAAGGCAGAGTTCTCAACTATTTTCAAATCTATTATATACTTGATGTTCTTAGTAACATGTAAGGTGAAAAAGAACATCTGATCTTATGCCTTACTTCATGTTTGGTAAGCTAAGAAGTTACTTCAATTTACTTTTAACTAACTTATTTCAGGACATCTTTAGATATGTGGCTTTTAGTCACTCATAAAGTATGAACGGTTATGCTTCTGTGGCGGTTGTCTAACTCCGAATTGTTAGCATTTTGCTAGGGAAATTGCATAAAACTTCTAGCAAGTTAAGGATTCCAACTCATTATGTCTGATCATGTGTTGCAATTGTACAATGATCCTGAGGGTAAAAGTAGACAGTCGATGCAGTCTTACCAATCTCTTTGGATGGCTCATTGGACGAGAACTAGCTTTAATGCAACAGCTGAACCTGATGATCGCATATCCAATCATTTTGGAATCCAGGAAATTCATCAGGATTCTGAACATCATAATTCTACGACTGGATTAGAGATTGCATCCGACATCTCTAGGTCGGCCAATCAGAGTCTGAGAGTGAGTTCTAACCACACGAGAAATGAAAGATCGGGTAGTAAATATCTTGCATTGGAGGGTCCTTCCAGGAACGGAGGGAGCAGTTTTTCAACACAACATGCTGTAGAAGCCGATGATATGCAATCCTTAAGGCCTCTAATCAGTTACAACTTTGGTGGATCAACATCACATTTTGTGCCTTCTAGATTTGACCAAGAAAAACATGGATTTGACAACAGACAAAAGCCAGTTTCTTCCTTTTTGGATAGATCCGTTCTAGTTTCCAACAAGCTATTGCCAAATGCTAACCTGAATATTCTAGAGCAACAACATTGTACTTCAGATTTTTTCCTTTCTGAAAGAAAAATGGACAGCCAATTAGACTCGGAGAAGTTTACAAGTGCGTGCTTGAGGAAATGTAATACATCCCTGTTACTTGACGCTCCCTCCACGAGTGACAATCACTTGTCGGCATTTGGTAAAAACTGGTTCCACAAGATGCAGAATCATTCTGGAATCAGACTGTTAAAGAACAATTGCAGTGCTTCAGAGAAAGGTTTACAAAGGTTTCCATATAACGTTCAAGATGTTGAGACAACGAGGATATGCACTGCTGTGAATTCCATTGATGGAGTATCTCAGACAACTCACAGTTTGTTAACCGCAAAAAGGAATAATGTCAACACGTTTAAAGAACATGAGTTTTTCAGAAAGACTAGAGTGTTCACCGAATCTAACAGAAATATATCCAGTGATCTTCATACTGTTTATCCGTTTGTTAGTCAAAGTCAGAGACGATTAAAACTTCAATCTCTAGGCAGTTCCCCTGATAGTGAAGGGAAAGAAAATCTTGAAGATGTCAATGCTTCTAAAGCTGTTATAATGCATGACTCATCGGCTGAAACCGATACAATGGACATGGATTTTTTCAACTCAAAGAACGAGCTTTCTGGTATGAATAAACTATGAATCACAACTTTACATGTTGATTTAAAAATTCTCGTGTAGTCTGTTTTTTTTTCTAGGTAGTACCTTTTTTGTATGTGGAAACAATTTCTGCATATTTCACTGAAGTTGTTTCTCTATCCACTTTTCAGGTGTTAATTCTAAATCATCAAATAAGGTACTCTAATCATGTCTTCTCTTCTACCTATTTATGTATCCACTTGTTTACATATGAAATTTGCTCTCATTTATTCTCTTGCAGTGTATATTTCATGATCATCCATAATGAATTCTACAAAATGTCAGATCCTAAACGTGTTGAACATTGTTTGCTTCATGAAGAACCGTGTATTTTTGTATGGCCATTGTCAATTGTTTATGCATAATGTTACTTCTGCTTTAGATGTTATATTGAGGAAATTAAGATCTAGCTGTTTTCAACACAAATAACAAGGTATCGGTTTTTGTATACGGAGCAAACCAATGTTACTTCTGCTTTAGATGTTATATTAAGGAAATTAAGATCTAGCTGTTTTCAACACAAATAACAAGGTATCGATTTTTTGCATACGGAGCAAACCACGTACAGTAAGCTTGAAAGGGTTTGACTTGGTCGAGGCTTCCTGTCATTGAAGGTTCTAAGAATTTTAGTCATTAAAATAAAATGATATTATGATCATTTTTGTGTACTACCTGGTTGCTTCAATTTTTATTTTATTTTTAAACTTGGGCCTGTTTGATGTAGATCTTTTTAGGAAAGATTATGTGAAAATGATTTTTTTGATGTGCAAAATTATTTTTATAGGAAGAATGTGTGGTTGAAAATGGGTTCGGGAAAATTAAATTCTAAAGAAACTATACCAAACGGGGGCTTAGTGAATGCACATGGAGAGTCTATCCAGATTCTGAAAAAGTTAAAATTGGTATTGGGGTCCTTGTATTTCTGCAGCCAGACTTCTACGCGATTAAAGTTTTTGTTCAGAGTACTGAAACCTGTTATTGATAATTATTAGAGCATGTTTGGTTAAGTTTAAATGTTACTTTTAAGCAACATCTTGGCCAAACATGTTGGGCCATTTTCAGAAATTACATTTTCTACATTTTTTTTTCCAGATCCAGCAATATACATTTTTTCGATTGGCATCCACTATATACAAGTCATAATCATTTGAGATGTTGTAGGTCATCAACATGGACTCAAATTTACCATCTTGGTTTAATGTTGCTTCGTGCAAAGTACGGCTGAACACTGAGTTGCCTGATATGAACTTAGAGCTTCCAACCTTGCCAGCTACAGCGAGTTCGTCTAATGATGCAGGGCCAAGCTCTTCGAGGACTCAAAGTTTAGATATGGACCTGCTTTTGGCGCATGCTGAGCAGCCTAGTACTTCAAAACACATTATCTCATCGGCTGATTCTCTGAAAACAGATCCAACCGCCAGATGGGTTAAACGTCTCAAGGTGAGCGCTTCAGATTCCCATGCTCATGGCACAAAGAGCTCGGATTTTGGCAAAAACCCATCTCATGAAAAAGTGAAAAAGCTCTTTGGTAGAATTCTTACAGATAACATAACTAGCTCAGAACCTGTAGTGGATGAACATTGTGAGAATTTGTTGACTTTGTCAGATAAGATTGGAGACTTACCAAGAAAAGACGAGTCCTCTTTCATGGACCTGTCGAAGGAAGGTAAAAAACTTTTACTCTCACATTCTTGGATACAAAGGTGGCTACACAAAGGATCCAGGAGTCCTCAAAAGAAGCCTGAGGCAATGGTGATTTGTGAACCACAATGTTCAAAGTTGTCATCAGAGGACCTTCAAAAGAAGCAATTTCCGAGTATTGCTGCTATGGCCCTGATGGGGAAGGCTATGAACGGTTTTGAACCATGCGAGCTCCAAAAGAGAGGTTCTTCTGTCACTTGGAACACTAGAGCTTTCTGAAAATACTTTTATGTTTGGTACAACAAACCGCTCGATAATATGACTGGATTGTATAATGATTTCTTTCTTAAGACTGCCTAGTATTGTCAAATTCTCCCTACATTCTGCATTCGATGTCATGTTTAAGAGTCTTAGCAGCAGATGATGTTTACCATGTTGGTGCTGAATATTCAAGTGACTCTTCTCAGTGAACAGATGGGAGTAATTTTGAAAATCATGCAGTTTGAGAGCCTGTGTTCCATCAGTAGGTCTTCTGCTTATTCTGTTTGCAGTTGCATCAGTTGAACAGCTTGATGGAAGTACTGGACATGCCGCCATGTTTCTTGGACAGTCAATTAGGGATAGATGCTTGTGACAATCTGTCTCGATAAACTCTCTTTTTTCCGGCTCGTGGAAAGACAGAAGAATGGAAGATCAGTACTTGACTACACAAATTAGATGACTTCGCTACTCTTTAATATCCATAAATTGTCTTTAAAACTGTCCGTGTCTTTCTTTAGTCTTGTTCTAAAATTGTTTATTAGGTGAAATATGAGTTTTATGGTTTCTTTTGTTCATAGATTTGTACATAACTAGATTCTTAGTATGATATTGTAGATGTAATGGATCTCTTCACTTATGTAAGGCAACAAATCTTATTTTAAAATTAATTTTTTTAAAAAGAGTTACCTGCAACCGAGCCCGAGATTTTTTTTTTCGACTCGACTCGTTGACATAGCTACCTGTAGATGAGTAATTTTATTCCGATGCAACAGAATCTATACAGAACAAATCAAAAAACCCAGTTGATATATTCAAGAACAAAAATTTTGGTCAACCTTTATCTAAGGTGATGCATCAACTGATCAGCAATTTGGACAAGCTAATGCGGGAGAGATGAGTTCATTCCCAGTGCCTTGACAAGCTAAAAAATCTGAAATAAGAATAGAACTAATCGACCAAACAACTAGATTAAAGGGTGCAGTCACAGGCACAACACATCGAATCTCTAGGGGACCAGTAGAGCTTCCTCTCATTAAACATGTTAGTTCACATTTCAACAGATGTTCCATGCTGACACTTCCATGAGTCCACAACCATTTTTAGATAACCAGAATATTTACGAGATTATTGGAAGAAAAACTGCAACGAAATTTAGTCAATAATCAATCACCAGGTAAAAGTGACAATTAACAAATTGATTGGAAATATATAGGTTAAGTAGCCAGATGCTTGCTAATATCTTGCACTTACAAAATTTAAGATCAAGGAAACACGATGCAAGTCTAGACAACAAAACTCATCAAACTCTCCAAGCAAGAAAATGAAACACCTAAGTGTTGGTTGCCCTAGTATATATCTGTTGGCTTGAATGGGCCGACACCATTCTGATCAAACCTCTAGCCATCAATTCTCTGATTGCTTTCCTAGCAAGTGATCCACTAATCTGTAATGTTAGATCAAGAAATTAATTAGGGAGTAGAAAATACAATGAGGAAAGAAATTTAGGTGCATGTGAATAAATTTTGCCCATGTTTGATAGAAATTAAAATCTGGATTTTAATTCAAGTCAAAGTTAACAATTAATTTTAACCACATATTTCATGAGATCCATAACTTTTCAACAACACAATTCATCAACTTTTATCAAAATCTACTATATCTTATTTTAATCCCATCAAAGAGGGGCTTAATAACAAAAAAAAAAATGTTTTAAATGTGGTAGGTACTAATGTAAGCTAAGAGATGATTAATAGATCTCAATATTATGCAGATAACACTAGGCAAATACAAGTATAGAAAAATCAATTAAATTCAATAAAACTGAAAAAGAGTAACAACTTGCTATGGCGCAGAAATGAAAAGATTGTAATGCTTAACACCTAATAGAACCCACCTCAAAATCTACAAATGTGTCTATCTTACTTGGCCCATATTTGGTATAGATTCTTTAAAACTAATTTTTCGCCTAACTCATTTTCAGCCATATATTCTCTCAATAAAATAATTTTGCACGTGGACCAGTAATTTTTCCATACTTTTTACCCACACATCTTCCAAAAGAATTACTTTTCACAAAATCTACATCAAACAGGCCCTTTAATCTTTCCTTGACTGTACAAATCAAGGTAAGTGTAGAAAATAAGAACACCGGTAACAAGAATCCAGGGTCCTCCTTTACGGATCTAACAGCAGAAGAAGTACAAGTACATGTGCAATAAGCATAACCATCCACAAAGAGCAGATAGAAAAAGTTACTGCCCCCTTTTTATTTTCTGATTCTTGTTAAACAGGCCGATAGATTATCATGTTATCCTTCTACCACAATCGCATCAATCTATCCACAGTATCAATCAGAACTTATTTCACTTGAGATTTTAAAACCAGCACATACTATTTATGAAATCCCTTCTGAGAGGGACACAAATTGTAGCCTGCGTGTATATTCTGTAAAAAATCCACTCAATTTATATAATTATGCTAATGTATTTCTGGATTTTACTATACAGCAATTACTTATAAACATAGATCCATGGGAATGAAATATGCAAAAATTATAATTCCAAAAAGATATATTCATTATTTACCCTGAGACGATCGGATAGTACGGAAGGGGTGATGAGCTTGTATTTGGGAGCTTCGGAGAGCAGCTTGTCGTACGTCGCCTTATCAAAAAGCACCATATTGTTTACCTTCTCCTTTTGCTTTCCCTTGCTCCACTTCTGCTCATTTTACACACAAAGAAAACATCCAGATAAGGACAACATTGTATCTACCTATTTATATACATATATCTAAATCTATGCATATCAAAAACTAGTAATAAATTGTGCCAACCTTCTTCTTCTGCTTGCCACCACCAGATTTTGCTGGCTTGGATGATGGAGGGGGAGCCTTATCCTTCTTCGGCGCCTGCATTCATTCATAAAAATTAAACCGAAATATACATACAAGAGTTTATTAATATAACGGTGAAGAGAGGGGAAAGTGGAGAAGTACCATCTGAAGAGTAGAGAGGAAACGGCGGCGACCTGCGACCGGCGGAGAATTAAATCACGATAAAAAATGTGGTGGCGGAGAAGACGAAAACCTAGCAGGGTACAGATTACAGGTCATTTTATTTACCAAACCTGAAAAAAAAAACGACGACGTTTGTTTAATAAGTGTTACGTGGCCCAGCCCAATCAAGCCCACGTGATAGTGATCTAAGATTCTAAATTAAGCTTGTGGAAATTACATATAACCAGATTTTTTGAGTTTTAATTTCAAAAATCAGATTTAAAGTTTGTTTATACAAAAATCAGATGATAATTTGATATTTTAATTTCATAACCCAACAATTTTTTTTAAAACCCTAATCATTTTTATCTTTTTTTTCTCTATCTATCTTCATTTTCTCTTAATATTTCCATTCCCACTTCTCTCTTTATTGTGCCACCACTGGAGCACCGTCCGCATTGGGCTCATGACACCTCCATGCAATCAACATCTCCGACGCCCAGTGACACATAGAGCCATGAGTTCGCAACGTTTGCAGGTTTGCTTTTTATTTTCTTCAATCGCGACGTCGTCGAAGCTAGAGGAAAGTAAAGTCAAGCAAAAACAGATAGCAGAGAAGAGGAAGACAAAGAAGACGGCATGAGAAGCAGCTAGAGGTGGCTGGAGTGGAGTCGGTGGAAGCTGCCCTGCGCCAGAAAGACGACTCGGAAAAGTAGAGGAGTGCGGTTGCTAGCGGTGGCCGAAAGACGAGTCGGAGCTGTTGAGGAGCGCGGTTGTAGTGCTTGGTGCAGATGAACTCTCAGAGCTGCTTGTCTTACGTCGTGGGTGCAGTGGTGGTGGATCTGACATTGGTGTCATGGTTATTGAGGTAGTGATGAGGTTGTTGTGGTGGGTTGTGTGTGGTGGTGGTGGTTGATGCGGCGATGATGACGATGGTGGTGGTAATTGTTGATATAGGTGGTGGTGGAAGTGTTAGATTTGGGATTTTTTTGTGGGGATTGTGGTTGTGATGGTGGTTGCCATGTTTGAGATGAGATAAATAAATTGTGGCCAATTAAAAATTTATAATTTGTGACTAATTAATTTGATAGTTTGTGACAATGAAATAAGTTGTGACTTCTAATTTATTTTTATTTTTTTTTTGTGACTAATGAACAAATTGTGACTTATAAAACTTCTGATATGTGACCGTAAAATAAGTCGTGACTTATAAAATTTCTATTTTGTGATCGATGAACATATTGTGACTTATAAGTTTTTTGAATTGTTACCGTAAAATAATTTGTGACGTTTCACTTTTTTATCTGTAATCGATGAACAAATTGTGATCTACAAAATTTTTAAATTGTGACCGTAAAATAATTTATGATATTTTAATTTTTTATCTATGATCGATGAACAAATTGTGGCCTATAAAATTTTTGAATTGTGACCATAAAATAATATGTGATGTGTAAAATTTGTGATTTGTGACCAATTAATAATCCGTGACCAAATTATATGGAATTGTAACCTTATCTCTTATTACTTGATTATCAATATGTGTATGTTTCATATGTTAACACTTAAAATTATTTTTTCTTTAATAGTCACACCCCGAAGATAAAAGTTACCACACTGACACTTTTGCGGACTATAAGGATTTGAGAATTGTAGTTGGAAGTGGAACGTCTGTTGGGACACACTCAATTGCATTGGGGGATGATACTGATGCAAGAACGTTTTATACAGAAGCAAAAAAGTTAGTGATAGTTTAATTTGTGACTTCATGTATGATCCCGATACTGAAGCATTTATACCAACTGATAAACAAGATCCTATAAGTCCATAGATTTCCCCATCAAATCGAAAATGAAGTAGAACAGAGTTTAAACCAAATCCTAGTTCATTTGATCCTAAAAGTACTCAATCAGATGTTATAGACAAATTTGCTTGTACAGTTGACAAGATCACTCGAACTATTGAATCAATTGAAACTAGACAACATAATTGTTGGGACATTATCAAGGAGATCCCAAATT